TTTTTTCAAGTTGGTTCATGCAGGGTTAAAAGAAGATGGTAAATTTAAGGTTGAAAAAAATTACCTTCGTGGTGGTAAATCGAAGAAAAAACTTTTTATTGAATATTTCTGGTGTAAAAATATCATCAAGGTGGTTGTTCATGGAGGGACTTATCAAAATGAATAACTCTGGTGGAAAAATTGAATCACGCTAAAAATTTGGAGGTTCACATTTAACTTTCTTTTTTTTTATCTTTATTTAAGAGATTTTTAGCCATAGACTAGATCATCTCTATTCACATTTAACTGAAAATTTCTGGTGAAAAGTTCGCAGCACTGTGGTGAATGTAGAAGCAAGGTTTATTCATTTTTCTGGTGCATAATTTGCATCGTTCTGATGAATGCAAGCTTCATTGAAAATTTATGGTGGAAAATTTGCACCATTTTGGTGCATGAAGAGGCAAAGCCTGAAAATTGCATTACAAAGGTGCATGGTGAAACAAACTTCATTGACAAGTTCTGGTGCACCGTTCTGGTGATCGGAGGAGCATGCTTTATTGAAAATTTCTGGTGTTAACTTTGCATCGCTCTGATAAATGAAATGAACAAAATATTTCTGGTGGAAAACTTGCACTGGTATGGTAAATGAAGGCACAAGCTTTATTTAAAATTAAGCTACATTGAAAATTTCTGGTAGAAAATCTGCACCGTTCTGGTGAAAAGATGGGCAAGCTTTTCGGAAAATTTTTGGTCTTAATTTTGCATCCTTTAGCTGAATAGAGAAACAAATTTTAATAATAATTCCTGGTGTAAAATTTGCACCATTATGATGATTGGAGAGAAGCTGATTTACTGTAGATTTATGATGAAAAATCCGAAAATAGGGGTAATCTTTATTAAGTGGAAAACCTGCAACATTCTGATGATAGGAGAAGCAACCTATATTGAAAATTTCTGGTGGAAAATGGAAAAAGGAAATCTGCACCAATCAGAAGATTGAAGAAGCAATTTTTCATTGAACATTAACGGTGGAAAATTTGCATCGTTCTGGTCAATTGAAATTTTCTTATTAAAATTACCTGAGGACAACTTATTATTGAAAATTTCTGGTGTAAGATTTGCAACAATCTGCTGCATGGAGGGGAAAGCTGAATTGAAAATTCCTTATGTAAAAATTGCACAGTTCTGGTGAATGGAGGGACTAGCTTTATTGAACATTTCCGAGAAGAACCTCAAGGGTATTGAATTCTGAGGACAGTTTCAAAAGAAAAGGTTTCTGGGGATGATTTCATGAAAATTCTGCAAATAATTTCTACTTTGTTGCAATCGTTACTTATTTTTTAAACCCTTTTAATGATCCTATTAGCTTTGACATTTAGGTCTAAATTTGAAAAAAATGAATTACAATTTTTGCTGAAGTATAGTAAAGTGTAACTACAACAGCATATAATACCCCACAGACTATGGCTTATATCATGTAATATAGACTGTCTTGCAATGAGCACTCACATATAGAATTTCCATTGAAAACTAGATGTATGAGTTCGCATTGCAAGACAGCCTATATTACATAATATAAGCCATAGTTTGTATGGGGTATAACGCAAAGCGGCTGCAAAATCGCTATATAATGGAACGTTTTATCGATATTGTGCGCATACTTTGCAAAGGTTGCCGACCACTTCGTGAACATTCTGGGAAAGTGTGTCTCCCAGTTGGTGGCTAACTACGATCCTGTGCTGGAAAACACTTGGTGGAAGGTGCCAAAAATTGCCAGTACACAAGTTACCGTATTCAAAATGACATGATTACGTCGTTGCACAATGTAATGTTGCGGAACATTGCGAAAACCTTGCGAGGAAAACCAATAGTAATCATTGCAGATGAGACGAGCGATTGTGGCCACTACGAGCAGTTGGCGAGTGTCATCAGGTATATTGATAATGATCGACCGACGGAAACATTTGTGGGTGTTGAAAAAAGACGCGACGACCATCTTCAATACCATTTCTGAGGTCCTGACAGCGATGCAGATTTCTTGGGAGCAGTTTATGGCAGTATGTTTTGACATTGCCAGCACAATGGCTGGCAACACTGCTGGAGTACAAGCCAAGTGCAAGGACAAAAACAGCAATATACTTTTATGAAGAGCTTTGAGTGTGTTGGTTTATTTCCTTTTAATTCCGTTATAATTGCTTATCTTTTGACAGATACGCGTATTCCGTCTACTACTTGCAGACTTCATCAGTGCCAAGCACTCAACACCATTGATCAAGATTGGATTGATCAAGAGCAATATACTGTTTGTTCACTGCTATGCTGTTTGAACCTTGTACTTGTCGACGCAGTGTGCATGCGAAAGGAGAATGCGATTCTTATTGGTCATTTAGCTGAATCCAACCACCAAGGCAACAAAATTTGAGCAAATCAGGCATAGCATTTGATAACGGCACAAAAGCATTTGTTAATAAACTTGCTAAGGCCCTTTACACGCGAACCAAAGTACACCCACGCAAACCAACAACATCATCGGATCGGGGCAACTATCACCTTTCCGAAAGTGGTTTTGGTTTGCGTGGGCGTACTTTGGTTCGCGTGTAAAGGGCCTTAGCAATTTACAAATGCTTTTGTGCCATTATCAAATGTTATGCCTGAAATGTATCATTTCGGTTATTATTGCAACCATTTGACGAATCGACCATCATCGACATCGTCGATGGGATTAAAATACCAATTTCATTGGCTGTCTGAAAGCAGTTTGCATTGCAGAAGATGAACCACCACCGGAGCAAAAAATGAATAAAATAAGCTGAATTGAACAGTAGGGAAACAGTGGTGGACGTACAGCACCATCGACCACGCACTTTGAAGTACTCCCATCCCCAGATTAAATGCATCATAGAAAAACAAATTGCCCCTCCTAAACAATCCAAGCACGGTTATTTCTGACAGGAAAGAAGTTAGATTTTGAAAACCGTGGCTAAATTTTGCACGACATTTGTATTTTCGTACATGGAAAATAACTTGGTAAATGTCACTTCTAGCCACGAGTTAAATTTAACTCGGCAAATGGTTCACAGCCTTAGAAGCTCGTCGTTTTTCTTTTTTTTATGTTTGCAGTTACATCTGGCACAGCAGTAAATAAGGGCTAGTGACTTTGATTGTATGAAGCTCACCATGAAATTTGAAACAGAGTTCCATTCGAGTTTCGAATCCGCTCAGAAATAAAACAGAATAGTCGAGCAGTTGCAAATCTGGTGCAAAATAGTGCTCGAATAATGAAACTGCAAAGCTGGAACTCACTATTGTGACGGGTGCGTTTCTGTTCTAGTTTCAAATTGAAACAGTCCATAACTATGATATATTAGTAGTCATCGATTGTTTTAAATTTAATCATTTTTTTCATTCGCGAGATTAACACGTAGCTTAGTATAAAAAGTATACTATCTTCATTATATAGTTTAAACTAAACCCGATTTGTGCGAGAGTATTTTGACCAGTGTATTCTTTAGTAAACCATCATGGATAAATGGAACAGATGACTGTTGTGTCGGACATTTATTTTTCGTGAAATGAAGTAAATTAAAACCTGTTTTACTTTATCAGAGAGACTTTCAGCCGTGCAAATAAAAAACTTAAATTGTGTTATCAACTGAATGTCGAAAGATTGAATATGTGAGTAGTTTATGTAAATGGGCATTTTACAAAGGATGGAAGCATCAACAATCAATACGAAACTAACGATTTTAAATTGGCTCACTACTTGACTAGCCTATTGGTCCCAAGTAAACGATTAACGTACCCCATTCTAGTCGAAATTCTAGTACTACACAATGTTTGTTTTGATTCGCTATGAAAGTTTGACAGATAAAATGAGGGGTTATTGGTTTTTCCTATGTTTCGAGGGGTGAATCGATTAGCTTGGGACCGATGAAAGTACCAGAGCTGAGCCAAAAAGTTGAACACGTTATTTCGGGACCTTCTAGTCTTAGAGTTACCTCTATGAAAGCATCGTATAGAAATGACTCTTTCAAACAATTCACATATCCATTCTGTCAGTGTTATTATTCTATTGATGAGCCTTTTGACAATCAAAACAAACATAGGGGCGTCGAAAACGTTCTGGGATAAACCAGCATTAAACTACGCATGTATATTCAAAAGATATACTATACCCCTTTTATTTCAAGTTTATACTAGGCCCGTTTTGTTGGCAACTGAACGCAGCCTAGGGTCAACCAGGCGAATATCGTTTTAGTGTGAATTCTATACTAATTAGTTTAAATTTTTTTCTGAGTGTACAATACAACAGTATTGCAAACGGCCTAACGATCCAATTTTGGAAACTCACATTTTTTGACTTTTCAGACCACCCTAATTTCACTCAAATCTATAGATGGTTCAGGCACAAACAAATATTTCCTTCTGGACATTAGAACTACTACACGCTCAAGGAGAAAAGTAATTTTAAAAACATGTAAAAATCATAAATTGTCGATTTTCTAGAAAGACCTCACCTTTTTAAATTTTGAGTTTGAATAAAGCTGAAGATATACAGAAAAACTTCCATAGCACTGCTAGGTGGATTGTCTTTGAATTTGCTAATGAGGTGATACGCCATTCATTAATGGAAATCATCTCATTAATAGGAAACCACCCGTATTAACTGGGAATGTAACCAAGTCACGGAATGTAACACGTCTGCAGTTTTCGAACCGACACATTATGATAATAACCTGTAACAAGTGAATACAAAAGAAGTTCTCATGTATCATAAAAAGCAAATCTGCTATTTACATCTCACTCGAATGCTTCACTTCCCATGACTAATGATGAAAAATGCCACATTGACAAGACAAATGAGCTGTAAGAGATGTTATCTAAAATCCCAGTGAAACTAGTTTAACTGGATGTCAAAACCCAGCCACGCTATCAAGATTAAAGTTCAATTGCCAATCGATCTAATCATTATTATGCGGATGGGCATCTCTCTCATTATTCTTATCGTTAATTTCACTCAGCAAACACCCGACTAGCGGTTCGAATCCGAGGTTATACGGAGAAAATCGACGGCAAGGAGTACGCCCGCTTCCATCGGTTGGGCATTCGGATGAAGGTGGAAAGCGCCACGTTCCAGCTGGATAATCTGTTCAACGGGGATCCCGTGCTGGGGCAGGTCGGAAATCAGGTGATCAATGAAAATTCGCGCCTTTTCCTGAACGAACTCATTCCTGGACTGGAGAAGAATCTGCGAGGGATTTTTACGGAAATCATCAATAATTTGCTGAAGACGGCTACCATCGACGATATGTTTCCTGAGTATGTGTAGCACCTAGCGGGGAGGGTGGCAGTCGTGTTTGTTTTGGAGGGTTTGGGAGGCCGAAGAGCATGGGAGAGCATCACGATCGCGAGCATGATTGTCATCGAGTTGCAGTCATTCATGTGCAAATAATGATGTTAAATTTATTCAGTCTCTATTGTGGAAAAATACTTCAAATTGATGCAATTGATCGAGTGTAGCTTCTTGAGAAAGAAATGTCCTTGTCTGTGGTTAAGGGGACAACGATGCCAATAGTGTGGCCAAGTCCTCTAACGCCGTGGGTATAATTAGCACAGGATTGGCAAAGTTTCTCAGTTTACAAAGGACCAGCTTATGGCGGTTTTTCATTAGGTTATTTTTGCGCCGCATAGGTGGCACTCTATTCTATCCCTTGAACGGAAATGTTAGTTGGGAATACAGTGTTGCCCACAATACAGCTCCTTAATCATGCCATAAGATTATAAATCTCTTAATCAATTAATAAATATTTAGTTTTACCCTTGGCTTAAAAACGATTTTCTGCAAAGTTGTAGCTGAGAAAATTGCTCATAAGAATAGCGATAGAACTTGTTAACAGTACAATATGGAAAAAGACTAGAAGACAATGAACAAAAAGTTTGGGTTTCCCATAGTAATTTCCATATAAACTTCAAATGCCCATGCCCATGCATTAGTTATGTCACGCTAAATCGAGGAGAAATTTACCCCTCCCCCCTATCGTGATGTTTTTCCTATACCTATGCATTGCTTGTCACAAAATCTTAGACCCCCTTCCCCCCTACAGTGTTACATAATATATGCATCAACCCCAAGTCAGTTTCTTACCAAATTAGATTAAATGTTGGGAGGCTTATCAGGACCCGATTTGGAACCGATTGAGCACTGTTCAATCAAATTTTTGCATCAGTCTAACATAGATCCCACCTCTTGCGTTTTTTCGTTATAAATGAGTTGTATAAAGGGTGTGCAACACCAAATTGCATCACGGAAATAAAAAAACGCTGTAGAAAATCACCCATTGGGTATTTTCTCTTGAAAATTTGGGTAGAAGTAGCTTAGAGTGTGTTGCTTATACTGTATTTTTATCGCTGTCAGTTCTTCGAAAGTTGGAAAAAATGGTATCACCCGAAAAGCAACGTCGTGAATTGATTTTGCGCAAGCACCTGGAAAATCCTCAACTCTCTCATCGGGACATCGGAGAACAACTCGGAATCGTGCAGTCAACGGTGAGTCGTGTGATTAAACGTTACTACGAAACTCTGAGCATCGAACGGAAGAAGAAATACGGTCAGAATGGATGTTTTATTAGTGATCAGGATCACAAGCGTGTCGTGGAGGCGTTTAAGCGGAATCCCAATACTTCGGTCATGGATGTGGTCAAAAAGTTGAATCTGTCCAAGCCTTTCGTTCAGAGAGCCAAAGACCGGGAGGGACTGCTCTGAGCTTAAAATTGAGAATGTGTTATGAAAAAGTATGAATCATTTTTATGAGATTACTATACCTGACGATAGTTAAGAACAGTAGCTGCATTTGTTGCTTCTGAATGTTTGGCTCCCGCTTGACAGTTCACACTGGCTCCCAAGTGACAATGAATGAGTCCGCAGTACTCAGTTTATGACTACCCTTATGTAAAGAGGAACAATCGATTATCTGTCAAAGTCATATGAAAATTTATTCCAATCGAGCAGAAGACCTGTCAAATGGATAAGATGTCGCCTCTTTACCCAATAAGGTGATCCAAGAGATGTTTCTCAGTGGAACTGACAGCTAGAAATCTAGAGTGTGTGAGTGATCTGGTGTTAATGGTGCTGAATGTAAACATAAACAAAGCAGAAATTCATATGAGAATAAACTGCCAGTTCTACTGTGATCGGTCAAAAGTTCTCGATAAACAAAAAAGTCAGCTGATCGCAACTGTCTCGTGGACAGCCTTATTCAGTCTCTTTACTTTTATGGAGTGTGAAAGAGCCAGGAAGAGGGGCGCAAAACTGAGAATTCGCCACCTACACTCAAAAAAATCCACACGTATCATCATGTCACATGTCATCACACTTAATTGAGCACTTATTGTGAAACACATCCATTTCATGTGTGAATCTTATGCTGTGAACCATGCCTCAACACTATTGGTTCGAACTGTGACACGCTTGGAGTCTATGTGCCTCACATGGTGATAATAATAGCTTTGCACATCATAGTTCAATGTTGTACAATGTTCTACTTTATCGACTTCTACTTTACCGATTCTAAAAATCGACGAATATGTATATAAAAAAGCTGCCAGAGCTGAGTGCCACCACCGAAGAACCGACATGCCACAGGAGCATTTCGTTTGTCCACAATTCGAATTGTCAAACGAGCGATTCGAACTTTCAAACGGGCGATCAGATCTGTCAAACGAGGTGAGACGCAAACCAAGGCAATATAAATTATACGTGGGTTCGTGTCCTTGCTCATTAGACTGATGCAAAATTTGAAATTTTCGCTCCACAGTGCTCAAACGGTGCCAAATCGGGTCCTGATTAGCCTCCAAAAGTGAAAACTCATTTTATAAGAAACTGACTTGGCACAAACCATTTGAAGTTTACATGGAAATTACTATAGGAAAACAAAACTTTTTGTTCATTGTCTTCTAGCCTTTTTACATATTGTACTGTTAACAAATTTTCTTGCTATTCTTATGGGAATTTTTATCAGCTACAACTTTGCAGAAGATCTTTTTTCAGCAAAAAGTCAAATTAAATAGCTATTAATTTTTTAAGAGATTGATAATCTTATGGCAAGATTAAGCAACTGTATTGTGGGCAACACTGTATTCTGCAGTGTGACATAGTAGCCATGATTTTTGCCTCTATTCTACGCGCCATAAACACCAATGTTGCCTGTTGAACAGTTGAATCATTAATAATTTTTGTTCCTTACATTTGATCGAAAAGTGGTTTTCAACAAAGTTGTAGCTGAGAAAGCTCAGCTATCATTTTCTAAAGTAGAGTGAACTGGTGAATTTTGAGATAGATATGAAATGAAATTATGGTTTCTCCATAGTAATTCCCAAATAAACTTGAAATGGTTTGTGCCTAGTCAATTTTAAACTAAATGAATTCAAATTTTGGGAGGCTAATCAGGGACCAATTTGGAACCATTTGAGCACTGTGGAGTGAAAATGTCAAATTTTGCATCAGTCTATTGCTCATGGTATGACGCGATCGTATGAGTAGATGTCGGTAGTGTTTAACGTATTTTAAATATGGCGTCTTGGGCACAAATTTTAAAGTAGCTTGTATGAGCTGTCACGTTGGTTCGTCCGTGGTGCCACTCTGTTTATGTATGAATTTAGCGTTACAATTACTGCGTATTTCACACCGCATGAGACTCCTGTTCTAAAAATGATCCTGCTGATAAAACTTTGATACTGATACTCTTTTTTTATTTATTGTCTCGTCAAACAAATCTGATCGATTATTTATAAAGTCTAATGAATAGCATTTTTTCTGTATCAGATTTTTTAAAGATTAGAGTTGTGTTATTGAATTCAAATTGAAATCTTACTAACGTCATCATCTGCTGATTTTCTCACTATATTAAAAAAAAAAAAACAAAATGCGTGTATCTATCCAGAGTAAGCAATTATGGTAATAGAATTAAGTGGTTGTTTTTGCGCTCTTCCTTCATTCCTACTTTTCCACTGATACGATAGACTCAAAAATTCGATACACTAAGAATTAAAATTCAATCAAAGAAAGAAGCGTCTGTCTGACGATATCAGAATGAGTTGCACTATCACCATCGCCTGCCAATTCCCCAAACAAAGCCCGCCCGAACTTATTTACCTACGTCAATTCGCGCGGTAGAGCAATCAACCGACACAACATGTGTTTCGGCTACCAGCTAAGTAGTTTTTGCTCGTTCCCAAGCTTCCATGGCGTATACTCGAATCATGTTTCGCTTGAGCAACTTCGCCTCATTTGTCTTATCCCGAGTAGCATCCGACAGTAGCATACGTAAATAGAAGCAGTTTAGGAATTCTTTGCTGCACACAGTGTGAATATTTTCGTTTAGGTCTCTTTTTTACATTCGCGTTGTTTTCGAAGATCAAATGTCCAAAAACGCAAATATTTACATTGAGTACAGCGAAGAATATGAATATTTACACGGCAGTCAGCTAACAACGAGGAAGATAAAATCAGGTGCAGAACTTCAAGCACACAAGAAGCCGGAACCAGTAAATTCTGAAAAACGGCTCACATGCTTAGAACGGCCGGGGTTGCGTGAAAAATCGTTTACCAACAACTTAATAAAGCCGTTTTGTTGAGTTTGCAACTCTTAATGGTCCTTATTTAATTAGATGGTGCTTCCTAGAACGATCAAGACAGAGGAGGTAAGGCAATCGATTTGAACTGATCTTGAGATGTCTTTCACGCAGAGGGCGCTCATCCTGGGTGAAGCATCATCGAATTTTGAGGTATTAAGCGAAGTTGTGTTTTTGTTTTGCAAATGGGGATTTACGTTCTAATCAAACGGGAATTTCATGTTGAACCGGTTAGCGGCGGATAATCACAGGTAGATTGGAACCTAGGAGCTTCATCAAAGGGGACACACAAGGAAAAAGTGTTAGTTTGTTTACTAAAATGAACTATGCCCATTTTGTTATGGCAAAGTTTTTTTTTATATAAGAAATGCTCCTCGTGTTTATTAGCAAAATTCACATCAAAGATTGATTAATTGCGTAGGAAATCAGTTTGGCACGGATTTGTGACCAGCATACAGGTACCAGGCGAGTAAGAGAGGTGCCATAGTCGGAAGAAGTGTTAGTTTGTTTACTAAAATGTATCGCCCATTTTGTTATGGCAAGTTTTGCTAGTGAACTTTTCGTGAACATTAACGGCAAAGAACTCACCAACTTTGGGAGACCGTGAGATCCTGCCCACCTGCGATAAAACCATCTCGGCCTGGAACTCACGGTTTGCTTGTGGTGGTGAGTTATTTGCCGTTAATGTTCATGAACAATTCTTACAACCAGAA